GTAGCGGAAAAACACTGTATTACAAGACTGCTATTCGCAGGACGTTTCTATTGTCGCGATTTTCGAGAAAACCACTACATGCTGAAAATCCGAGGGTCAAACCGTGAAAAGCCACATGCATCCACAGTTTGTTTTAGTCCTTCATTTCTTTATACCTTCACTTCTTTATTCTTTCATTTCTTTATACCTTCACTTCTTTATTCCTTCACTTCTTTATTCCTTCACTTCTTTATTCCTTCACTTCTTCATTCCTTCACTCGTTCACTCACTCACTCATTCCGTCATTCAGTCATTTAGTCAGTCAGTCACTCACTCACTCACTCAGTCATTCAGTCAGTCAGTCAGTCACTCAGTCAGCCAGCCAGTCAGTCATTCACTCAGTCACTCACCCACTCACTCTTGAATATTAGTTCATCCATTTATCCATTCAGCTGTTCATCCGTTCATTCATTCACCCATTTATCCTTCCTTCCTTCCTTGCTTCCTTCCTTCATTCATTCAATCGTTCGTTCATTCATTCGTTCATTTATTCCTTCATGCATGCATGCATGTGTGCGTGCGCCCGTTCATCCGTTCATCCCTTCGTTCGTTCAATCGTTCAGTCGTTCAGTCGCTCACTGGTCCGCTCGTTGATTCGCCCCCCTCATGGATTGACTGATTCACTCATCCCTTCACTACATCGTGCGTTCATGTCTTCATTCATCGACTCATTCATTGATTCAATTGTTGTGGTAGGCAGCCAGTCAGCCAGTCAGCCAGTCAGCCAGTCAGCCAGTCAGCCAGTCAGCCAGTCAGCCAGTCAGTCAGTCAGTCAGTCAGTCAGTCAGTAGTTGTTCCATCAATTCATTCTTTCATCCGTTCATTCATGTTCATGCATTCGTTCGCTCGTTCGTTAATTCATTCAGCCATGACTTGTCGATGTCGTGGACTTCATGAAAGTTCATTGGCCTTTCAACAACCACTTCCTCATTCGTTGCTGCCCTTCACGGCCTCAGTTTCTCATCGTTTCTGATTCTCACAAACATCTGTATAGCCCACTGATTTCTTACAGCCATTGTTTTCTCTCGAAACTTCCGCCCCGGCGGGGCCGGGGATTATCTGGTAGACATTCATGTATGGATGCATGGAAGGCATTGCCCCTGACTCCAGCCGACCTTCAAAGCTCTCATGGCTGTGCAGCATCTGGGATTTGTTTGATCAGAAAGGGTCCATGTGCTTTCCCGTTCTGGAACCCATTCACAGCCTGGGGAAGCAAAGCCGGCAGAAATATCAAAAATGGTTTCGGAGCACAGCACAATGGAGCAAGGCTCGCTCCGAAAGGGCTAGGGCTAGGGCCGACGTTGGGTATCCCCAAATCAATTGGCCTTCCGAAACCCATCATAGCATTTGCAGGGGCGGTCTCATATGCAGCAGACGCTGTCATTCGCGAAAAAACAATCAAACATAAAATCTGGGCTGAAACGTACGTAACTTCGTGTTAAATTTATTTCGGACAAATGTCAGAGACATTCCCAGTATTTTTTTTGAATTGCCCCAGAAAAGTGTCAGATCCCAGCCCTGTCTCTGGTATGTATCATACATGTGCATGTTTATGGTTGTTTAAACGTCAGGTATACGTCAGGTATACATCATGTCCATGCCACATGCAGTTCAGATCTGTGTTGTGTTTACTTTTTTGCCCAAGATATGCCAAGGCAAGGATCATGTACAGTACAGACCATTTGTTTATGTTTCCTGTTCACGGTAGCTAGCGGTAGCTAGCTGGAGTTTTTCTAGTTTTCGCAATGGATGAGGCGGACCAACTGCCAACGCGTGATTTTTCATTCCCCCTCTCCCCTTTCTCTGTCTCCATCCGCTAATACTTCGATATGCAAGACTTTGATGTGCAAGTCACTCCATATGAACCATTCCAACCCTCATTCTCCCCACGTCACCCCACGGATTGTGATGTATGTTAATGTTCGTTTGTGTCAAGAAAAACATGAATGCCTACCGTGGTTTAAGTTGGAAAAAAAGGCGCATTCGAGTCAACTTGTTTCTACTTTGTACCCTAAGATGCTCTCACTTTGCAGAGTATGTTCTTCCGCTGCATTCTATATTGTATTGTTTTCTTTTCTACCCCAAAGCGTCGAAATCACGAAAGGCAGAATAATTTGTCGAAACTTTCTTTTTTCTGTACAGACTTCATTCGTATATTACTTGTATCCATGCCTCAATGATCCACAGACTCCCAGGATGCTCCGGCTCATGGACACTGGCCGCGAGGCCAAGCCTCCAGATCACAGAAACGCCATTGAAAAACGAACCAAGCAATCAGACCAATCAGCACAGATGTAATCAGATACTTGTGTCCAGTCGTGTCAGTCTTGGTTCAGTTTGGTGTCTTGTCAGTCTTCGTTCCGCACCAGGGCGATATCTTGCACCAAATGAACGATGCGTGGACGGACCCGGGTGCGATGAGCGAGCCCGTGCTAGCAATTGGCGACATGAAAGGCGATGAGAATCTGGGCAGAAATTGAATCGAAGGCTGCCAGTGAGCTTCAAATGATGACGAGTCATAACTGAGTCATAAAGGAGCTCATAACGAGTAAGAACTGTACCATACAGCATGGTACTTAAAGCAGACCGTGACAAACGTGGATCCCGGTGCAACTAATTTGCAATCAGTTTTGTACATGAACATTGGGACCGCATGCGCAAATGCACGCAAGAAAACATACATTATCATTCCTATGATCGTCCTCACCCCCCTCCCACACAGGCGCACACACACACACACGCACACGCACCTGCATGCAATCATGTTTTATTTCGATGCATGCAAACAAATAACATGATTGCATGAATGGGACGTTGCTTTGTGCTAGATTACATAGCTTTACTCAGACCACATTCCCAAAGTCGCCGAAAGACATACTCATATAGGCACATGTAAATGCTCTCTTTCTTTCTTTCTTTCTTTCTTTCTCTCTCTCTCTCTCACAGACACAGAGACACAGAGAGACACAGAGAGACACAGAGAGACACAAGAGAGACACAGACACGCACACACACACAGACACAAAAACTCGACACATGCGTTTATTATACAAACGGCCAGGGGACGATAGGCAGTTCTGCATTGAGCGCAAGTATGCTTTGGCACACCACATGGCCCGTTAACTCGCAAGTCAAGTGCTACAGATCAAGGTATGCGTGTGTGCGCAAACGCATCCATCCCATGCAGGTACTCTATTTTTACTGGGATTTTTTTCCCTTCCGTGCCGGATCTCGCCGGGCAATTTTTTCCCCTGCCCTGGGGATTTTTTTCCTGATCTGTTCTGTTTTCCGTCCCCTACATCTATCCTGCCACTTCCCTTCCATGCTGCATGCTATTTGCAGCATTTTGGAGCTGGAACCTTTCATTTTGCGTGTTATTTGCAGCATTTTGGAGCTGGAACCTTAAGCATGCTGCATGCTGTTTGCAGCATTTTGGAGCTGGAACTTTCTATTTTGCATGCTATTTGCCGCATTTGCGCGCAGGAACCTTCCATTTATCATGCTATTTGCCGCATTTGCGCGCAGGAACCTTTCAGTTTGCGTGCTATTTGTAGAATATGGGAGCTGGAACCTTCTATGTTGTTGTGTTTGTTGTTGTTACGTTTGTTGCTGTTATGTTTGTTGTTGTGCTGTCTGTTGTTGTAATGTTTGTTGTTGTTTCTTTGTTGTGTTTGTTGTTGCGATGTTTGTTGTTGTGATGTTTGTTGTTGCGATGGTTGTTGTTGTTGTTGTTGTTGTTGTTGTTGTTGTTGTTGTTGTTGTTGTTGTTGTTGTTGTTGTTGTTGTTGTTGGTGTTGGTGTTGGTGTTGGTGTTGTTGTTGCTGCTGCTGCTGCTGTTGTTGTTGCTGTTGTTGTTGTTGTTGTTGGTGTTGGATATGCGCAAATAAATAGCCGCAAATATGTATCTAAATGACTACCTGTACATATGTATATATATATATTATATATACATACACATGTATGTAGAATAGTGTATTTACAAGTGTGCAAGCTTTACATAGCGTACCCATTTGCTGCTGCTGCTGCTGCTGCTGGCTGCTGCTGCTGGCTGGCTGCTGGCTGCTGGCTGCTGGCTGCTGGCTGCTGCTGGCTGCTGGCTGCTGGGTGCTGGCTGCTGGTGCTGCTGCTGCTGAGAGGACGCGCTTCCAGGCGGTCTGTCAGGCGGTCTAGCAGGCGAGGGGTCCCGGTCCTGAGTTGGATTTGCTGTTTGTCATCACTTGCCGGTGTGTAGTTGTCAAAGGAAGTTTAGTGGGAGAAACTTCCGTGTTACGGACTTTTAGAATGTCAAAGAAAGAGTTAGTCAAAGAAAGAGTTAGTCAAAGAAAGAGTTAGTCAAAGAAAGAGTTAGTCAAAGAAACAGTTAGTCAGGGAAAGAGTTAGTCAAAGAAACAGTTAGTCAGGGAAAGAGTTAGTCAAAGAAAGAGTTAGTCAAAGAACAGTTAGCCAGGGAAAGAGTTAGTCAAAGAAAGAGTTAGTCAGGGAAAGAGTTAGTCAAAGAAACAGTTAGTCAGGGAAAAAGTTAGTCAAAGAAAGAGTTAGTCAAAGAAAGAGTTAGTCAAAGAAACAGTTAGTCAGGGAAAGAGTTAGTCAAAGAAAGAGTTAGTCAAAGAAACAGTTAGCCAGGGAAAGAGTTAGTCAAAGAAACAGTTAGTCAGGGAAAGAGTTAGTCAAAGAAACAGTTAGTCAGGGAAAAAGTTAGTCAAAGAAAGAGTTCGTCAAAGAAAGAGTTAGTCAAAGAAAGAGTTAGTCAGGGAAAGAGTTAGTCAAAGAAACAGTTAGTCAGGGAAAAAGGTAGTCAAAGAAAGAGTTAGTCAGGATATATGAGGTAGTCAAAGAAAGAGTTAGTCAGGATATATGAGGTAGTCAAGGAAAGAGTTAGTCAAAGAAAGAGTTCGTCAGGGAAAGGGTTAGTCACAGAAAGAGTTAGTTAGGGCATTGATTGTTCCCGCAATGCAAATGGGATTGCAAGTGGTGCTGGTGGATGAGTTGCCGATGGAGTTGTGAAGGAAGTCTCGCACGAAATGCGTTTTTGAGAGATAGCAGATGCACGAAACCCTATGTTTTTCCATACAAAGTCTGTCCCCGAACCTCGATGATCTACCTCTGCGGTGCGACGGGTGCGAGACGGTCTCGTGTGTGGTCGGATCATGGTCGGATCATGGTCGGATCATGGTCGGATCATGGTCGGATCGGTTCCGCATTGTAAATGGGGTTTCAACTGTTTTTCGTGCATGTGCGGTCGACAGAATTCCATTGTGATTTGCAACTGTAGGATCGTTCCCGCATTGCAAATGGGGTTGCAAGTGGTGCTGGTGGATGAGTTGCCGATGGAATTCCATTGTGATTTGCAACTCTAGGATCCTTCCCTCACTGTAAATGGGATTGCAAGTGTTGCTGGTGGATGAGTTGCCGATGGAGTTTTGAAGGAAGTCTCGCACGAAATGCGTTTTTGAGAGATAGCAGATGCACGAAACCCTATGTTTTTTCCATACAAAGTCCGTCCCCGAACCTCGATGATCTACCTCTGCGGTGCGACGGTTGCGAGACGGTCTCGTGTGTGGTCGGATCATGCTCGGATCATGGTCGGATCATTCTCGGACCATGGTCGGATCGGTTCCGCATTGTAAATGGGGTTTCAACTGTTTTTCGTGCATGTGCGGTCGACAGAATTCCATTGTGATTTGCAACTGTAGGATCGTTCCCGCATTGTAAATGGGGTTGCAAGTGGTGCTGGTGGATGAGTTGCTGATGGAATTTCATTGTGATTTGCAACTCTAGGATCGTTCCCTCACTGTAAATGGGATTGCAAGTGGTGCTGGTGGAGGAGTTGCCGATGGAGTTTTGAAGGAAGTCTCGCACGAAATGCGTTTTTGAGAGATAGCAGATGCACGAAAGCCTATGTTTTTCCATACAAAGTGTGTCCACGAACCTCGATGATCTACCTCTGCGGTGCGACGGGTGCGAGACGGTCTCGTGTGTGGTCGGATCATGCTCGGATCATGTTCGGATCATGCTCGGATCGGTTCCGCATTGTAAATGGGGTGTCAACGGTTTTTCGTGCATGTGTGGTCGACAGAATTCCATTGTGATTTGCAACTGTAGGATCGTTCCCGCAATGTAAATGGGATTGCAAGTGGTGCTGGTGGATGAGTCGCCGATGGAATTCTATTGTGATTTGCAACTCTAGGATCGTTCCCTCACTGTAAATGGGATTGCAAGTGGTGCTGGTGGAGGAGTTGCCGATGGAGTTTTCGAGGAAGTCTCGCACGAAATGCGTTTTTGAATGTTTTTGAGAGATAGCAGATGCACGAAAGCCTATGTTTTTCTATACAAAGTGCGTCCCCGAACGTCGATGATCTACCTCTGCTGTGCGACGGGTGCGAGACGGTCTCGTGTGTGGTCGGATCATGTTCGGATCATGGGCGGATATGGTCGGATCGGTTCCGCATTGTAAATGGGGTGTCAGCTGTTTTTCGTGCATGTGTGGTCGACAGAATTCCATTGTGATTTGCAACTGTAGGATCGTTCCCGCATTGTAAATGGGGTTGCAAGTGGTGCTGGTGGATGAGTTGCCGATGGAATTCCATGTGATTTGCAACTCTAGGATCGTTCCCTCACTGTAAATGGCATTGCAAGTGGTGCTGGTGGAGGAGTTGCCGATGGAGTTTTGGAGGAAGTCTCGCACGAAATGCGTTTTTGAGAGATAGCAGATGCACGAAAGCCTATGTTTTTCCATACAAAGTGCGTCCCCGAACGTCGATTATCTACCTCTGCGGTGCGACGGGTGCGAGACGGTCTCGTGTGTGGTCGGATCATCCTCGGATCATGCTCGGATTGGTCTCGGATCGGTTCCGCATTGTAAATGGGGTTTCAACTGTTTTTCGTGCATGTGTGGTCGACAGAATTCCATTGTGATTTGCAACTGTAGGATCGTTCGGGCAATGTAAATGGGATTGCAACTGGTGCTGGTGGATGAGTTGCCGATGGAATTCCATTGTGATTTGCAACTCTAGGATCGTTCCCTCACTGTAAATGGGATTGCAAGGTTGCTTCCTGCTTTGGCTGCATACGTAATACTATTGTCTTTTGCAGCTGGACTTCGTAAATCGTATTGGAGTGGCTGCATGAAGGCTGCGACAGTGATTTGTCAGCAGATTTTCTCCATTTTGGCGCTAGTGATTTTCCTTCTAAAATCCTTTTAAAAAGTGCTTCAAAATCGTCTTTTTTTCGCTCTGGCGTCGAGATCCGGTTTTGGAGCTACAATTTCCGACGCCATTGCGCGTAGTTCTATTGTGTTTTGCAACTCAGTCTCTGCAGATCGCATTGTAATGGCTGCGTCAAGGTTGCTTCGTGCTGTGGCTGCATTTGTCATACTATTGTCTTTTGCAGCTCGATCTCGTAAATCGTATTGGAGTGGCTGCATGAAGGCTGCGACAGTGATTTGTCAGCATATTTTCTCCA